AGATATTTTATTTTAGAGATTAAGGTCTTCTTAATACATTTAAACTTGATGCACTGAAAATGTAGTCAAAATGGAAAATTTGTGCTACTTTATTTAGTGGACCAGTACACCAGATGCTTGTGAAGTGACAAAACATTAGAAGAATCTGGATACATTTAATTGAAGAGAAAAACATTTCAAAATTAATGTACTAATTTACCTGTATGAAATTTGAAATCCACTGGATACATATACATTAAAATGCAAATGTGATAAAGGATGTTTCTGAACCTAAAAAAGAAAATCCTGCTGTAAACAGACAGATCTCATAGTTTAAGAAATCAATGTCTATGTAGGGGATCTCAGGTTGGTTCTTAAAGATACAAGAGTTCCTGGAAAGCACTGATAGTAACAGGTTGAGTGACCTAATGTTTTGTGATTTTTTTGGGAGCTTATGAATTAAGGGAATAAATAAATAGTTAAATAAAATTGATTCACTGGATCAAATTATATTATGAGTAATGATTACACAATTCCTGATTATAATTACACAGTTCCTCAGTTTAGGCGATATGAAAAAGAACTGACATGTAATTTCTGATTTAACAGCCCTGTTTTTAGTATGAGTGAAGGCTTGAGGTCTGAATTCATTTTTATATTAATCATGAGAAAAGCTCATGGGCTTTTCATCACCACTATAGAACATTATTTATTCAGTACTTGGTTATGTGAACTAATCATTTCTTAGTGACTAATTGATGATTCCTGTCATATTCAAAATGCTGATCAGTTTGTTCATTGTTCCCATGAAATTTGAATAGCTCCATGTGCAGGCTGTATGATGATATTGCATGTTACGTGACACAGATTTGGATTAGCTTGCAAACTTGTCTGAGATGGCTTCAAGACTCAGTTAGCAAAATCACTCCATAAATGTGTATGTCACAGTAGCCATTAGTATACACCCCATCATTATTTGTTTTGTATATGTCACATACCTAACTGAGAGATGATTTAAAATTTCTTGAATAACAATTTCATTTTGTACATCAGTCACAAATACACTTTTGTACATCAGTCACTTCAGTTATCATTATTAACATGTGCAAGAGATCTTTTACATAGAAAAAAATGCAATTAATGTAAGTAAAAAAACTGTAAAGGTATTTTGAAAAAATCTCTACATAATAACATTTCAGTTCTTACCAGCCTTGAAGCAGGAGTTGATTGTACCACTAGATGTATGGGACTCTTTTTTTCTGTTGCTCTTTGTTCCAGTGTCTTTGAGATAGTTTTCTGTTTTTATAGTTTATTGTGGGTACTATTGTTGTTGTACTGGTATGAAAGTAAGATGTGAGTCTCAGAGCTCCAGTCCCATTTTTGGAAAAAAAGTTTTTTGATTTCTTTCAGAATTTAATATTGAAAGACCAAATTCTGGCCAGTTCTTAAAGCTTCAGTGCATCTTTTACCTCTTCTGCAATCAACAAAAATAATTTAGGATATTGTAAAAGAGTGTTATAAACCACTGATTTTTGGAGCTGTGTATCCTACTCTGGGCAACTGGCACCAAAGTATGCCAGTAGATATCTAGTGAGTATAACTTAATTAGATAAGCATGACATTATCAGCTTTCTCTTGGCTGACTTTAGTCTTGAACACATTCATAGTTATTGCTCTTGTGTTTGGCATGGATCTTGATGCTGCTGGAGTGCAGTGGGTGTGATTGGGGTATGCTTGCTAAGCTTAGCACCTTGGGACTGACATAGGGAGAATCCAAAGGCCTTGGTTAACCCTTGGAGGGAGCCAGGCACAGAGTACAGCAGTGACAGATGCTGAGCTAAACCAGAATCACAGAACTCACAGAATCACAGAGCTATAGGGGTTGGAAGGGACCTCGAAAGATCATCGGGTCCAACTCCCCTGCCAAAGCAGATTCCTCAGAGCAGGCTGCCCAGGGAGGCACCCAGACAGGCCTTGAATATCTCCAGAGAAGGAGACTCCACAACCTCCCTAGGCAGCCTGTTCCAATGCTCCGTCACCCTCACCGTGAAGAAAGTGTCACCCTCACCATTTAGAAGCATCCTTTAAACTACTTGCCTCAAGATTTACCTAGCAGTAAGTTTAGGCATAGGTCATGAGGCTTGAATACTTTGACTGAAGTTCTACTTATGTCTTACTTCAGAGATCTAAATACTTTTAAGAGTCTGAGTCACAGGCTTAAAGCTGTAACACCAAGGCTGTGAGCAGACTGCTGCATGCATCTTCATGGGAACAAGGGGCTATGATGACAGCCATTGTCAGGGTCATGGTGTTAGACTACTAGATGACAGTCTCTGATGAGAAAAATAAAATACTGGCTTCATGCAAGATCCATGTGAATCCTGTTCTGTGAACTAAAATGATGCACAGGTCTGGGGTAGATCCTCCTCTTCTCTTGTCTCTGCCCATGAAGATTAATTTCACCCACAAGGAGTGGGAGCTCACGAGGACTGATATACTGAGCATTGGCATTACTCGTTTTGTAATGTGAGTTAAGACCACCATCTCTCCTGTGTTAAACAAGGAAAGAGTCTGTCTATTTCTAGTGAACGTGAGGATGAATCAAATGCTATGAGTAAAATAATCAAAGAAAAGGCAAGAATTTTATACATTTAAAACAAGGAATTAAAAGAAATTAGTCAGAGATTTCTGATCCAGCCTGTATTCTGATGTTCTTTTTTTTTTTGTTGTTGTTTAGGTGGTGACATTTACTCACAAGTTTACACAAATGGAAACATGGCATTCATGAGTCACTGGTCTTAAAGTGGTATCAGGAATAAGAACCTATGTTTCTTGACTCTTACCTTCAGGTAAGAAACAGACTATCCAAGTCAAACCATTTGTCTTGTGTTTGAATAATTGCTAATGGGGAAGATAATAATGCAGAATCTAATTATACAAAAACGTTGGAGGATATATATAGGGAAACATAGATTATAGATCATCTACTATTTTGGAATTGCTGAATTTGGACCTAGCCAATGGGCTGCAGATCAAGCTAGAGCATGTGCCTTATTTTGGAAAAGGCACATGATGGAATGACACAGGAAGAGGAGGAAAAACTCCAATATCCAAATGTTGCACAGTCTGTAAAAGATGGGATGTTCACAAGGTTCTTTTGAGGTGGTTAGAAAGAAATGGACTCCTTTATCCACTCTCTCTTATGCCCATGACATATGTGTTTTCTGTCTGTGGTCCTGTAAACAATAGCTAATTTATTTTTTTTTTTAATGGTGATTGCCCCGTTTGGAAGATGCACTAGTTTGGTCCATTGTTCTGAATTAGTTTATATTGTGGGTAGAAGGAGCCAAAGTGGAAAGAATGGGTGAATCTTTCTGTTTCTTGCTCTTTGACACTATGGTCATTGGAATTACAGTCACTTACATCTTGAATCCTATGGCTTCATCTATGTCATTCATTGTGAGTGGACTCCAAAAAGACTGTGATCAACTAGGATCAGCTTCTTTTCCCAATGGCTGCTGCACAGGCTTTATACAGGCCACCCATGGGCAGCCTATTTGATTTAAGGTGCATATGAAGATCCATTAGCTCACCAAGCTATTGGACATACTGGGCACGTGGTGTGCTTCATAGAGGGACCTCTGGCTGCACCTGGGGCTCTACTTTCTCTCTCTGCATTTGGTACGGAACCTTGATTTGGGGCATCGTTTACAAGTTCAAGACAAATGTATCCTTTGTGCCTGTATATGCAAGGGAAGGACTTTTGCCACAGATCAGCAGAGGTCTGCTTTTTGCACAGCTGTATTTTATATAAATGTATAAATATAGGAAGGATTTCACTGCAAAGTAGCACATTCTTTGTGAAGGATACTTAAAATCCTGTAGAGGTTTTTTCTGTTCTGTAAGTAACACAGTGGAAGAAAATGGAATCTAGGATGAAAAACCCAGGCAAGCACAATTGCATGAGATGATCTACAGCTCTTCTGTAGTATGGAAACATATTATTTATACTTCCTTTTTGTTTTTCTCCTTTTTTTGTTACAGTATTCTTAACTGACTCTATCTTGGCCCAGGACCAGAGTTTCTAGTACATCCAGAATTACATATTTGTGGAACTTAAGTACTGAAGATGTACAATTTGTTCTTTAAAATTTGGATCCTCTTGTAATCTTCACTTGTAAACCCAGATAAATAAAAGAACATGCCTGGCTAAAATGTACAACCCTTGCAGTCCTGTCTAATTGCTTCCTCATTGTAGGCCTATTTCGACTCTTCTCCTCCATTTATTTATTTATTTATTTATTTTTCAAAACCGTGAAGACATTTCTATCTGTCTTTTTGTATGCCAGATTGTTGAAGGCAAATGCTAGATAAACTTGATCACCATTTTGGGGCTACTTTAGGTATCCAGCCTTCTGCATGATGCTAATCCAAAGACTTGGCCAGAATAAATCTTGTTCCAGCTAAAATTAATCTCTTATATAGAACATTTTTGATAGGTCAGCAAAAACTGATTTTTGCATTTGATATAACATGCTCACAGTGCTCTGAAGTTACCCAGAATTACCCCAGAGGGTAATTTTTTATAGCTCAAATGGCAGGCTGGTGCAAGTAGTCTAGAATGCTTACCAGAGGAGAGAAATGCTGAACCAGCAGTTAAAGACACTGCCAGTGGTGGGGCTATTTTTGTATGCAGATATATGGCAACTGTCAGACTCCTCCAAGAAATGTGACTCATTCCTGTTGACAATCCCAGAACACAGTCAGTCGGTTTCCTATAGCCTTGATTTATCAATTTTTATTCCAAAGCTTACAAATCTGAATAAGACACATGGTCAGACAGCTTACACATTACCTTTTCTTAATGCAGTAATATTTATAATATAATAATATAATTATATATAATATATATAATATAATATAATATAATATTTATATATAATAATATAAAATAATAATATAAATTATACTTTCATTAGAAAGAAAATAAGACAGATATGCTTATATTATGATATCTCCTTCAAGGGGTCATGTCTTGGCCACACCAGAAGAATTTTGTTTGGGTGACAGTTTCAGAAGTGCACTCAGGCTATTCAATTTTATCTGAAAGCTACTTTTTAAAACATGGAAGTCTAGAGACTTTTACAAGAGAATGTTAACCTTTAGCCTATGTTTGCGTAAGGAGTGCGTTACCGGAATGAAAAGACATATCTACTGTATATTAGCACTAGAGCTAGAAGGGCAAAGATTTGTACTTTATACATATACCAAAGTCACTGTGGCCTCCTACTCACCTGCCCTCAGGGGAAAAAAGCTATTCTGAAGAAAAAATGTTGTTTTTCCTGTAAGGTATTTTATCAGTGTAGCTGTGTTGGGTAGGGCTCAGACCTTTGCACCCTTTCAGAGCAAATTTCTTGGACTGGAAACCTAGATGAATACTTAATTTTCACTTCTCAGATCCATACTTGGAGGTCATTTGCTAGTACCCTAGCTCCCTGGAATGCACTTCCTCCTAGTTTCCTAGCAAATAAAAGTCTTGATCCTTGGGTTTGATCTTTTGGCTAAAATTACCTTCTGAAGTCTTTTATTCAAGCTGATTCATCTTCTTAACACCTTCATCTAGTTAATTCCAAAATTTCTGGATGATTCCTGCCACGTATTAGATCATATTGTGAAGAGAAGCTGCCTACAATATTTCATGAAAATAACATGATTCATCATTTGTTTGCTGTTGCATTGGTTGCTATACAATTGCCTACTAGCATGAACCCTAGGATGGCTGTTTCCAGTAGTCTGAGTCATCACTTTCTAGCCATGGCACTTATGTGAAATTTTACCTGTGTGTTGAGTTCTACACTGTGTCTTGGTTCATGGAAGGAGAAACCCACTCTGGGATCTGAAAGTGAGCTCTTTGGCAAACCTCAGAAGAATGCTGGTAGCAGTGAGAGGCAGAGATTTCTGCAGAGCACACCATAGACAAAGTACTGATAACTGGTTTATCCAAGGCAAGCTAACTTTTGTGAAGTTTTTATTTGGTAAACGTTGTCTTTTTCTGACAATTACAGTTCAGGAGGGCAGTCCAGGAATTGTTCCAGTTGCACAGTATGTCTTAGACTGGCCTTTTCAAAGGGGAAAAGGAGGACAAAAGGGGAGAAGGAGCTCTGCACAAACTTATTCAGTAAGTACAGATGTAGTCAGTGCTAAATTTGTCTGGGGAAGAGGGGAGCAAAGGCCTCTTTTTGTCTTAAGAACTGTGATTGCTAGTGAAGTTTCAAGACTCCTGAGGGGATCAGACAGTACTTCATTTGAGGAAGCTATTTGTATTCACTGTTCTTTGCTCTCAGACATACTCCACATGTGATCAGCATGTCTGTGTTAGCAGAATAGGGCAGAGTAGATGTGGTTGAAGAGGCACTTTGAGATATCACTTTGTTCAGTGAGTGACATCCTGGATATATGTGCTGGTACCATGGGTCAGTCAGTTTGCTCAGTAACCACGATTGGTGCCTGCCATGGACTGTTTGAGGCAAAGGCCATCTATAAGCCACTGCCAGTGTGGCTGGGGTGGGGATAGCAAAATCACGTCTACTCTCCTGGTTCTCCTGGTCTAAGCTACAAGCTCTGCAAAGTCCTAAAGGAAGGATCCCTCCTGACTGCCATGGGCAAGGAGAGGGCATGAGGTTTCACACTTGGTGATCTCTGCACAGGTCTGCAAAACAGCATAGCACCATTCCTGCACACCCTTTCCTTCCTAGTCTGTCTTTCTTCTCACCAATGTATGTATCAGAAGCGTGTATAGCCCGTACCAACATGGTTCTGTTTGCATTCCAGCTTTAAGATTGTTTATGGCTCTTCTGAAGACCCTATGTGGGATGTGTGGGCTGTGGTGGGCCAGTGTGAGGAAGTCCTTGTGTTGCTCCCCATAACCCTCCCTGAAGTCACACTGCTAGAGGGAGGCCTAACATTGTCTCTGGCATGATCGAGCTCTCCAAGTTCAAGGCCTACAGCATGGATGGAGGTTGGGAAGTGAGAATGACCTCCACCCACAATCCTCCTAAACCACACTGACCCTTCTCAGCTCCTGTATCTCACTTGTGTCACCAAGACAGAATCCTCCCTATCTATATGGGATGTGGTAAGCTATTTAAGTAATGGTATTTTTTTGCTATAATCCTCAAGGTAACAAAATTTATTTTGCCTAATCTGCTAAAAATTTGTGAACTGGCTGTGATACCTTAGAGAAGGTGGGAGCAGCAGATAGTGTAGTGTGCTTTAGACATGATGAATTTATCTACAGTTTTGCCTTTTGCTTCCTGATTGGCCAAATTTTGGCAAGGATGTGTATTAAAGGAACATAGGAAAAGTGAGTTTACACTTTGTTGGAGTGTTATTGTGTAGAAAACATGAATTCCATGGAAAAAAAACAGTTTGGGCAAGGTCTCTGGCAACCATACAGATTCAACCAGTTCAGCTTCATACCCAAGTTATATAAGGATGCACAGGGCCTGGACAAGCTGAAGATAGGAAGTGTCCAAGACTGGAGATTCCACTGCTTCTTGGGGCACCTGTGCCAGTGCATAACCACTCCTTTGCATCCAGTCTGAATTTCTTTTGCTGTGGGCTGTGGCTGTTGCCTCTCATCTAATTATTGTGTATCTGAGACGAGTCTGTCTTCATATCCTCTATAATCCCCTCTACTTTAATGATGAAAACTCTCTGTATATGACTACTCTGGTTTAATGTAATCGTTCCCAGGATACAGGTTATCAGTTGTGCAGCTCCAGCTGCATATTTGACCACTGTGGCTGTAGTTTTTCCATAGCTTTTGCAATTGCAAAATCACAGTTCAACAGAATGCAGTTTAGCTCATGCTGTCTCCAGCATATACAGCTTGATTTTAAGTCACGCCAGTGACATCTATCTAATTAATACTTCTGTAAGGCAAATTCAGTCTTATTGCTGCAGTAGTGAGGTATTTAAAGTGATAAAAATATTATTTTGATACTGCACTGTAGAAAAATCACTGGTTCAACACCCATTTATATGTGCTTTTGTGCTCTTTCCACTTCAATTCTCCACGCTCTTGGGGTTCAGTAAGATTTCACAAGTGTATCTGGACAGGAATGGGGGCAAGTCTAGGAGTTAGCTTTGTTCAACATTCTCCTTGCAAAGCCTAGTCGGAAGCCAATGTTTGCAAAGCTTCATATTCAATATTACGTTGTGTGGTTTCCCTATGGAAAATATAAGGCTGGAAAGGAGAAGCTGAACAGTCTGCAGAATGTCTTGTGTCAGACCTCTAGAATGCAAAGAATTTGGAGTCTGGTTTCCCTACATAGCTCTGTATTCACCCTTCAAAAGAAGGCTGTTTGCCATGTCATGGGGGTTTTATGTCCTTTATCCACGATATACTGTGGGCAGCTATGACATAGCCCTATGTTATTGTAAAGGTCAGTTAAGTCAGCTCACAGAGAGAAAGGTGGAAGAGGAGAGGAGAAAGAGGAGGGAGAGAAAGGGAGTGAGTACTCCTACTCCTTCCAAGTAGAATTGCTATTTCATTGGCAATACTGCTCTTCCCACTAGATTCTAATGAGAGCAAAGCAGAGGATGGCATAGTTTCATTTTGTTTAATGGCACAGGATTTGTCAGCAATATAACAATCCTACAGAAACCTGCAGCGGTGATAAGTAAATAGTTATGCTGAGAAGAAATATTGACTGTACATGACACACTCCACTCTTTTGAGTATTTAAGTTCCTCATGGTACTCCTGGCAGACATCAATGATCTCCAGTACATGCTGTTTTTATCGGGGTTAGGAGAATATATCCCAAAACTGCAGCTTTTTCAAATATTCTGGGAGTTGTCAGTGCTTATCCTTTGGAAGAGAATTGCTTTAAAGTCTGAGTGTAACAAGGAAAACTTCCATATACTTATATTGCACTTGGTAAATAAAATATTTAATAAAAAAAATTCATGAAGTGCTGTTCAGAAAGGATGACATATTGTTGTACATGGAGGTTACAAGGGATTGCAGTGAAAAAGATTGAAATAATTAACGTCCCTATAAATTATATTAATGATTCTGATAATGTTTGAAAGTTGAAATGAATATTTAGACTTAGTTTACACTCTGTGAATTCTTTTACAGATCCTTAATTTTTTACTCCAGGAAACTCAAATTGTCGTAGGGCATGACCGACATTTACAAACAGCAAATAATATGATTTCAAAATACAGTCTCCAAGGAGAAGTACATTCTTGGATTAGTAGGATATTATAATTCTTTCCCAGTGGTTCTGTACTTTGGCAAGATATCTCCCTGGATGTTGGTAACCAGAAACTGCAGATGGGCTGGAACAGCTGAAGAGGGAAAGTCTGAAGTGATTTTTATACGTAGATGTAAGTCACTTTTCTGTTTTAAATTAGTAAGATCTAAAACAACATGGCAACAGATGTCTGTCTCCGAGGCTAAACACTTCAGAACTGAAATCTCTCTGTGTTTCTCTCTATGCATACATAATATTAACAATAAACAAACATATCTTGTCATTTTGAGAAATGTTTTTACCTACAGTAAATTGCTGATTTATTTAGGTGAAAGTTAATAGTACTAACAGAGTTAACAACCATCTTGTGCCTGTGTGGAGTAAAATACTAAGGGCCTATGAATATACCTCATAGTCAAAAGAGTCACTCTTTATCTTTTTGTTTTACTATCCTTACTCTTTAATTTAAAAAAAAAAACTGCGGAGACATAGAGGATCAAGAACTATTCTTTGGACAAAAGCTTTTCATCTTTATATGAAAATCCAGGTTTTCCAAAATATGGGCTAGGCTAACAGGATTGAATTGAATTCTGTAAGACATATACATTAAAATAATTAGGGCTTCAGATCTGCATCTACTGCAGAAAGGATACTTTCCCAGAGAGCTTTCAAATGTTCAAAAGGTATTGTATTGATTGTTAGATTATTTGAGAATATGACTTCTATTTTGACAGCACACAATACATTTATATTATAAATTAGTTGTCTCTCTTCATTTATCATCAGCATCAAAACCAATCCCTTTTCCCCATTGCCAAATCTAACATATTTTGTGTAGGATAAGATAAAAATGCACTAAGATCCCCCAAAAGTTTCTAGCCCCCCCCAGGTAAGGTAAGTTTAGAGTGTCTATTTTAATACCAGTGCCTGGTACTGGCATTTAGTAGTGATTAAAAATGGTAAGTGATTAAACTTATCATAAGACAAAGTTTCTCACTTGCCAATTTAGAAATTAATCAGAATCATTAATCAGACCCATGTTCTTAATTTTTTTCGTTTATTCTGGAAACTGAGTACAGAGCTTGTGTTTTCTAAATATGGGAAAAGCACCTGGAAACAACACATGGATTCTTTATTATTTTTAGCAAAATAAATATTTAAAATATTAAAGTTTTATTATTTATTTTGAATGCTAGCAAAATTCAGAATACTTCAGAAGAATGCCTATCTTAAAAATATAACCCAGAGAATTAACTTCATACAGTTCCCTGACAGATAGACAGACTCACAGACTTATTTTTTCTTTTTCAAATAGTCATGGCAGTATTTATCAGTGCAACTGCCCAAATGGAGTAAGCTGTTCTTGAGGTGTCCCTGTAGCTATGCTAGTTTGCTGTTCCTGTCTCAACACACGTATTTTGTTGGTGAGTGCAATCCTGAGGACTGTCAGTTGTAAGAGAGATGCTTTCAGTAAGATTTATACTTTGAGAACTTTTTCTTGTTATCGTTGTTAAAATAAGGGATTAGACAAGTTTTGCCTCTGAATACAGAAGAAACAGAAGGATGTCAGAAAACTTCCACTAAGTAGCATTCATCTTAGTTGTTTGTGTGTTTTTTTTTTTTTTTTTTTTTTTTTTTTGTTTTTTTTTTTTTGTACATTTTGTGTTCACCTTTTTGTTTCATCTGGAAGATTGGAAGAATTCTACTGGAGATTGAGGCCCACCAACTCTTTCTCATCCCTCTCCAGTTGCATATTGCTGTCTTTCCTGTGGGAGTCTGGGAGTGTCATACACCCCAGTGTCTTCTCCTCCACTCATATGATGATCCCTTTCAGAAACGTGCCTACATTTTTGATCCTGTCAGACATCCCACTCTTCAATTTTCTGAATCTGTTCTGGGGACAGGCCCATCAGTTTTTCCTAAGGAGTCATGTAAACCTGCTTTTTCTGCTGTTAGTATGAAATTCCTCCCCTGCATGTTCTTCCTTCTGTTTGCATATCATTCGGTATTTGGCCCTCTTTCTCATGATTTTCTGTCTATCATCCTTATGCCACCTTCTGTTTCATCCCTTGCCTATTCTTTTTATTTTTTCTTCTCCACCCTCTTTTAGGATGAACTTCTCTGCAGTTTTTGTTTTCTGTTTCTACCCATCTCTCCTTAATGCAGCCATTTTCCTCCTCAGTGTTATCTTTCCTCTGCTAGCTTTCTTTCTCTTTTCTGAGTTAGAAGATTCCTTCTAACTCAGGGTGTTCTTCTGGTCCTCTTCTACAGCACGTATCCTTCAGTCTTGGGTTACATGCCCATTTCCTCCTTCATCATGATGATACATCTCCATTGAACTCTGCTACTCTCTCCAGGTTCATTTAAGTTTTGGTTCAGTTGTTTGTTACCTCAGACAGGTCAAATCACTTGTGGAAACAGGTTGTGCCAAACACCTCTGCAGAGACAATGGATCCTCTGCTGCTGGTCCCTCTTGTTTTTTTTTTTTTTTTTTTTTTTTTTTTCTTTTTGCTGGCCTTAAAAAGAAAGGACAAAATCCCCCAACTGTTCCTTAAAGAGAAAGGACAAAATACCCCAGCATGTCTTTTATGCTCCCTGCTTTACTGGTTACATTTCATAAAACAGAGAATTAATGTCATAATCAGGAAAGTTATGCTTCTTTCCTCATGCGTAGTAAAAGTGGCTGAATTCCTGCTTTAAATGTAAAATTCTTGTCTACTTTAACTATGGAAATTCAAGCTGTATAATTAGTTGACAACTTAAAATTAAAAGCAAATGTATGGGATTGTATGCATGTGTCAGTTATTAGCTTCTGATTCAATAGATGCTTCTGATTCAATTCAATTCTGCAGGGGCCCAAAAAGGGAAAGATGGATTTAGGAAGAACCTCAGCTAGTAAGTACTGATCAGTGTAACTCATTGCTAGGGAAATTTACCACTGCCCAGGGCACTGGGCAGCCACTGCTATTAGAACTCGAAAGATTTTTTGAGAAACAAAAATTTTAATCATCAGTGACATGTCAATGTTGTATGTTGTCAATTGCAAACACCTATATCTGCTAAATCAACTGTGCTTAGAAGAGTATGGACCAGATAGTCTCAGATTGTCAAGAAGGTTCAGCTCCTGCCATCTAAGCACCAAATAAATTTTGGGTTTTCAGGAGATGCATCCATGCCCAGCATCCAACAGACAGTCATAGCTACCGGTCACAGGACACTTGTTATGACCTGCTGAACCAGAATGAGAGAGATTGCTTATCAGGCCAGACAAAAACTTATGTTCCAGAAAGGGAACACCAAGGTAAGTTTCACCAAAAGTTTATATATCAACATTTGGTTCGATGAAAACCAAAGGTCCAGATTTTCACAGTCCCTTGTAACGGTCCCTTTTATTTGAATGTAATCTCAGAATGGTAACTGCAAGAGTCGGTCCTCATAATGTCTAAATTTCAAACCAGATAAACTGAAAAGATCACTTTTAGAAGACAAATGAAATACCTGTTTTCCTGTTAAGTATTGGAATTCTCCTGCATGATTCATTTGAAGCTGCCAATTCCAGAAGCTCTTAATAAAACCAATTTGCAACACTGCTTTCTGTCTATCCACTAACAAATTTTTGCATTCTTTTTTCTAAGTGTCACAGGATTATATTACTTTCAACATTCTCTCATTTCAATTCTACTGCAGTGAGACACAAAGCCTTTCTAGGAAGTATAGCGTTTGCACTTTTGTGACTGAATATGAAAAGTCTTGGGACCTACTGTTTTGCCCGTCTTAGCCAGCAGTCTGCTTCCTTTGCTTCAGGGAACAATCTGTAGAAACTTTCTATCTGACCTTTCTTATCATGCAGGTTATTCATGCCAATTAAGAGTGCTCCTGAGGTCTGCACTTTGTGTGGCCATTTAAACTGTAAATTAATTCTGCTTCTTGAATCATCATTAAAGCAGCTTTGAAAGGTTCCTTTGCTGATGAATGAGGGGGATGTATGTTTGCTGGTGAGTAAGCAGTATGATAACGCCTCTGAGCCAGTAGAGCTGCTCCATGGGAAAGAGATGCAATGTTGCAGGATGAGGTGCTGACCTGGCTGACTATCTGCAATTTTCAGATCAGGTTTCCAGCAGATCATGTGCTTCCCCCTTGCTGCCCTTTGGTAGCATTCTTCCCTTTTTATAGTATTTGTATCCTGTTTGTCCAGAGAAGAAATTTGGTCATTTTCTGCATGGCTACACAAAGAGATTCACATTTATTTTCTTCTATTACAAGAGCTTCTTCCATTGGAAGACAATTTTGAGAAGAATTCAGAGGAGAGAGGGCTGCTGTGGAGCAAGGTGTTAGCTGGCATCAGCATTGATGACAGAACCAGGACTTGCAGTTAGGTTTCTGGTTTATTCAACCACAGAGTCTTAAATTCCATAGCACAGTAATAGAGAAATTCTCTGAGATTCATGGATCTCACAGATGGAAAAGTCACATGCGGTCATCTGTTTCATCTTTCTGAGAGCACAGGGTTATTCAGCAGGACATATGTTTCTAATATTTTGTCTAACCTATTTTTGTAGGCTAAGTGATGAGTCATAGGGCTTACACCATCCCCAGAGGAACAATATTCTACGGCAAATCAAATTTCAATGCTGGGAAGAATTTCTTTCCTGATATAGATTTTCCATTTCTTAATTTTATTTCATTACACTTGCTTATCTCTTCTAAACACTTCCTCCTAGCTTTTGTATTTAAGTTCTTCAGCTTCCTATCAGATCATGGTATTTTAAAAAGAGTGGTTGAAGCCTATCTTTATTTTTGCCCAGCATGTTGCTTTATAAAACCCTGTTCATTAGAGTATCATTAATTCATTTTATTTATTTTTTTATTTTTTTATGTTCAGACTTGAACATTTTGGAATGTTCAGCTATATCTAAGGACTGTATTAGGCAAAAATGACTGTTCCCCTCCATGTTAATATAAGCAATACAGTCATTCAGTTGAAGCTCTGCACGCCCATGCTTTGAAGCAAGGCTGTGAAATTTGGTAGGAAGGGTGGGCGCTCACAACCAAAATGTGCCTTTTGTCATGACTGGAAAACTCAGGTTGGAGAAATGAGGAATATAAGAAAAAGACAGTTCTTAGGAGTGTGGGCTGCTGCAGGTGCCCAAGGAGGCCTCATGTCTCATGCCACCTGAGGACACAGGGCACTCTGCAGGCCCCTGGCACCCACCTGGAAAGTGGAGAGGAATGGAGGAAGAAATGGATGGTGGTGGGAGGGAGGGTAAGAAGCAGGGGAAGGAGATTAAGAGCAGGGAGGAGGAATACGTTGACAGAAAGAGGAGCAAAGCAGATGGGCAGAAAGAGAGGTCTGAGCTGGCAATGAGAGGAGATAAGAGCAGTAAAGGGAAATGGTATGGGCTGGGCATAGGAAGAAGTATAAAACTCCCTTCAGAAGCTGGTGTATGATAACCATTGGTAAGTTACAGTATTCTGTATCATCTGGAGGTGGGCACCTTTATTTTGCAGTCTTAATTTTACACACTTTTTTTTTTTTTTTCCTGTTGCCTGAGTATCTCTGTTCTTGTCTTTCATCTCCTGCCCCATGTTCTCCCAAACATCTTACTATTCATGGGCAGCTCCCTGTTTCCCCCTTCTCCTGGCTGCCTATCTATGTCTGTAACGTAGGAGTCCTGGTGGACACCAAGTTGAACATGAGTCAACAATGTGCCCTTGCAGCTAAGAAGGCTGATGGTATTCTTGGCTGCATTAGGCAAAGTGTTGCCAGCAGGTCAAGAGTGGTGATCCTTCCACTCTGCTAAACACTGGTGAGGCCACACCTAGAGTTTTGTGTCCAGTTCTGGCCCCCCAGTACAAGAGAGATACAGACGTATTGGAGAGGGTCCTGTAAAGGCCCATGAAGGTGATGAAGGGACAGGAGCACCTCTCCTGTGAGGAAAGGCTGAGAGGGCTGGGACTGTTTAGCCTGGAGAAAAGGAGGCTTAGGGGGTAATTTTATCAATGTGTATAGATACCCAAAGCAAAAGTGCATAAAGGACAGGACAGGCTCTTTCCAATGATGTGCAGTGCCAGAACAAGAGCACCAAAAGGACACAGGAGGCTCCCTCTGAACACCAGGAGTGCTGCGTTGTGTCCTAGCACTGGCACAGGCTGCCCACAGAGGCTGTGGGGTCTCCCTCCATGAGGACCTCCAAAAGCACCCTGGAAGTGGTGCTGGGCACCCTGCTCTGGGTGGCCCTGCTGGAGCAGGGCTTGGACGAGGTGATCTCCAGCAGTGCCTGACAGCCTCTGCCATTCTGGTATGCTGTAACATGTAAATTTATACTACATCTGCTCCAACTTTTAGTTGTTTTCTTTTCCACGGCAACAAATTGTTTATAAAAACAAACATAAGCCTGTATTCTTTTATTAGATACTATGAAGAACTGTGTAAAGTCCAGAATGACTAACTTGTAGTGATAGGAATCATGACAACTATTATTTCAGTAACTGTCAACACAGAATGGAGTCACTCAACCAAAAACATGGTATAACACTTATTTCAAAGGGCATTTCAGTATGACATTCAATGTTAGTCCTGGTTTTGATAAAGTCAAAATTTTATCAAAAAATATGAACAAATAGTTCTCTTGATGTAGGTGAGATGAAGTAAAAATGAACAATGCTTTGTAAAGCGTAGATAGACTGAGTTTTGTAATAGTGTCTTAGGCCCTCCAGTGTTCTGCCTTCATCCCACCAGAAACCACAAATCACATCTGCACTTACAGGAATGTAAAAGAAAATATGATTGTCTGTAGTGATGCCTTATTTGTTAAAAGGGTAAGCAAGTTGGTATTTTGTATCTTGCAATTTGCCTTCAGTAGTGGCTAAAAGGCTGCCAGATAACAAGGGGAAAGTTGTGAATTACAGTGCTAGAGATTCTTTAACTGCCTCAAAAATTACAATGCCAGTCATAAAATTCCAGTCATTAGTCTTCTTGCTGTCAGTATTAAAGTTGCTTTTTAAGATCATGACTTGAGAACTGAGATCACTGTAAATTCAGCTATTGTGTCATAAAGAAACCTTTTATAGTTGAGCTGGGAATCCTTGCAGTGGAAATGACATGTGGGAAAATGCACTTGATGTTTTTGGATTTCTTAATGGTTTCTCATCTCATTCCTATTGCATGATTTTACTCTACTGTGTTTGGTTTCTTTTGAAATACTAGTATTCTTTGATATCTTTGCAAGCAAACATTTTTAAGGAACAAATATTACTATATCACCACCTAAAGAAAAAAAATCAAAAACCAAACAAACATAAAAACCAAACCAGTTGCTATTGTTTATCCTAGTCCCAAATTCAAGTCATTTTATTTCCTTATTTATGACTTATTTTGTTTTCTGAATATAATCCTGGGTTTGGACCCTTGCTAATAAATGAATGCAAGACCTGTCTTTAGCAGGAAGTGTTGTAGCTAACCAGTTATACTCTAGGGTTTAACGTGTCAGGATTTATTAAGTCCTATTGCTAATCTATTTGGGTCTGTATCAAGTACAAGGACTGCATTGAAAATAAAGATGTGGGTAGCAATAAAAATTTAAGGAATAACTTGAATCCTTTAAAATATTTGAGATCATTCCATTCAAGACATATTCATTATTAAGAAAATATTAAGAAAATTATAATCACAGAAACGATAGCTTATTTTCAGTGTCTTTTTGAAAACACTAAATCTTTTAAATGAAACTCCCAAAAACAGATTTGTAAAAAACTTGACTTGTCAACTTAATGAGTTTCTTTTGCTATTGCAATGGATTATTTAGTTACCATTATATTAGTAATGAAATATGTTGGTTTTTTTTTGTTTGTTTAAAATGGATAGATTCAGTGTTTGATATATGTGAAAACTTGATAGACTTGTTTTTGCTGAAATTAGAAGCAGATAAACTCTTTTCACCTCCATTCACCCTTGACTGCATTGAAGTATTGCATTGAATGTCATCTCCATGACATGCACACAAGCACACATTGTACTCTTTCATTTACTGAAGCAATCTAATGTTTGAATGTATATATAAATAAAAGAGACTTCTACTTGGAGCCAGAATTTTTACTGGTAATTCCTTCCTCCTCATGCAACCCAGCAGTCTCTCTAGCATGGGAGTGACAGCCCTGGATTGAGTCAGTATGGTGGGGAGGGTGCTGAAAGCTGTGTCCTGGGGAACAAACCAGGCAGAGTGCATGAGTGAATTACTCATTCCTGTGGGCACAAAGATTCCCATGAAAGACTATAGCTTCTTGAAGCAAACTTTCCTTGGT